GGGAGGAGAGAGAGAGAGAGCGACCGGCGACGAGACACAAGCACGCGCGGGCTTCGTGCGAATCGAATTCCGCGCCGAACGGCCAAGGGAATCACATGATCGTGGTGTGAAGCGAACGCGCAGGCAACCGTCCGAGGTTATAAATAGAGGGGGGCAGGCCGCGGAAAGTCTCTTTCACTTCCCGCTACGTGCCGCGGCGCGTCGTTTCGCCCATTTGTCTCGATCATTACGCGGTGTGCCGTGTGCCTGTGTGAGGCTCGTACTCTCTCCCGATCCGATCTGATCCGTTCTCCCTCTCGCGTGCACGCCGTCGCTTGTCCGCTCGCGTCCACCCTCGAAGGAGCCACAGGTACAAACCCCCTGCAAGAGAGACGCGATCTGTGCCCGATTGCGCCGCATCGACCGCACGGAGATAGTAATTCGGAGCGGAGCGCGCGTAAACGTGAAAGAAAACGCATCGACGACGAGAAGAAGGAGGAGAAGGAGAAGGCACGTGGAGAAGTCTGTTCGCCGTGGTGCGATCGGCCATAAACCGCTTGTGGAGCTCAACAGCGCGGCGGAATCTGTGCGAAGCGAGCGATCCTGAGTAGCGAGAATCTGCCTTCGAGACAACGGCGGCGACGACCCCGAAACGTAGGAAGATGCCGGAGACCGCACACCATATGAACGGCTACGCGAACGGTCACGCGCCGCCTGAGTTGCAGCAGGACACCACGTTCCTGTTCACGTCGGAGTCGGTCGGCGAGGGACATCCAGGTGAGCAGCCCCGAGAAGACCACCCAACCCCCTTGCCGGGCTTTAGCGGGTGACCCTGCATTATCGGTCGAAAAAGCTCTGATCTCTCCCTCCTTCTCTCTCTTCCTCCCTCTCTCTCCTCGCCCTACGCCCCCCTGTACTTTGCGGCTTTCCTACCACTACCACCATCACCATCACCACGAGCATCATCGACGTTCCGCGTACGTCGCCATGGAAGAAGATCGCCTCTGTAATCACTCTCGGTTCTCTCCTTCAAAACGATTCTAATCGACACCAATTGTTCTAGAAAATTCGATCGCCTTCGATTGCCTCTTCCCGCCTACGTTCTGCCGATACCACGCGGATTGTTTCTCAACCGGGATGAACGGCTGAGATTGCGTTCTAGAAAAGGACGGCGAGATACGCGGCGCCTTCGTGCGTGCCGCTCTCGAGTCAACAGATAGCATGGAATCGTGGTGATCACATTCTCGTTGTCTAATTCTTGTTTTCTAATTCTTGTTTTTTCTCTTCGTCATTGTCCCAGTGAGTTTGTGAGTTCTCGGCCGACACGATGACCTGGCCGCGCGCCTTGCGGAGACCACGATGGCCGCGCCGCCGCCATGTGCTCGCGCCGATCGCAGCGCGATCGGCGCGAACCGCTCGCAACAATGGCCGATGGCACTGTCGGCCGAGGGTGGACACCGGTTAGCATTCTGATTGAACTAACGTCAAGTGGCATTCAGCTCCATCCTCTGTTTCTCATGTCGTGTGATCTCGTTTCGAGAGAGACCCGAAGCATTGCTCCGAAATGCACGCACGAAATGCGGTAAACTTCCTTGCCGCAGGAAGGCGATTTCTCACCAGAAGCGGGATTATCGTTGTCTCAACAAGTTATATCTTGTAACTGGGCCTTCTATTCATCGTCTTTCTGTTCACTAGTTATATTTTTCATTCATTCTTTTTTCTTTTTCTCTTCGATCTATCTTAGATTTGTTCTTTTTAGCTGAATTTTTTGTATAGTTTATTTTTTCTCTTTTTTCTTGGGAAAAAAAAGAGAAAGAGAAAAGACGACTCGTGTAAGAAGTTCTAGTAAAAAAAATAGATCTGTTATTTCATCTTAAGTGCAAAAAGTACAACGTGATATAGCTTATAAGGAATAAATTTAGAATCTTTACTAGAATACGCTCTCCGATCTCCAGCCATTGCCAGTATTGAAAATCTATGTTAGAAAAAAAATAAAAGATGACTTGTGCAAAAAGTTCAATTAAAGAACAGGCTTTATATATATATGATTATATGATTATAATACATAATCATATATTTTAAATACTGGCAATGAATATCGGAACGCAGTCTACATCTACATAATTAAAGTTTTATAATTAAAGTATTTTATATAGTAACTTCATATTAAAAGTATTATAGTAACTATTATAGTAACTTCATATTTAAAGTAGGTATATATGTTTGAACTTTAACGGAAATTGGAAAGAAAGTTTTAATGGAGACGAAAATAGGATTATTGTCTTCTCAAAGTCTAACGGAATCAGAAGTAGCGACCTTACATTCTTTCGAGATTGTTCTGTTGAATGTTGACATATAGACGCAATTGGATCAATGCTGTATATCATGCTGAATCATTACATTATGTAGATAGGCACACACGCGCGCGTATTAATCTACATAGAAAGTATATCATTTAACA